AAATAATCTATTTTTTTGGTCACGTTCTTATAGTAAACAGTCGTTGCTATGGCCGTTGCTACGTGAAAAACTTATACCACTGTGTACTTTCCTTAAATTTCACACTCATATGGAAGGAAATTCGGCAAGACCGTTTCAGAGTTTTTTTTGACAAGTCCTCAAGGGTCTTAAGCCTGGTATTTCCAAGAAATTGAATTTTTCATGAACATCGCCATATTTTAAGGTATCCTACCCCCTTAAGGAAAACGGAGAAGCGATATCATTCAGACAGCTACATAGCCTGTGTGTGGGTATTACATCTGTACTTATTCCCGTCAGATTTGTCTTGTCCAATACTCTTCACGGTCTACACAGTTTGAAACAAAATTTAAAGTCCCGGGAAAGCTCGTATTCTGATTTACTGTGCATCTTTTATTATTGCGTTCTTTCTAATCGGGTAATGCAGAAAAATTTTGTTATGTATCTTTCTGTGGACACCAACCCCCCCCCCCCCCACCAAAAAAAAAATTCAAGGACGAATGACGTCATCTCAATGCTCGTCCGTGTGCTTTCTTTCGAGTTTTATGCAATATTGCGAACTTTCGTGCGTCGAAGCAGTTTATTGTACCTTACTGTAGCGGATAAGTTGTTTATTTAAAGTTCGAAGTCTGTGTTAATGGAATTTAAAACCGTTGCAGACATGGCTTCACGAAATTTGTACGACTTCTCGTACGAACAGAAAGCTGTAGTTTGGCTGCATGTTGTGTACCCTCTTCTCTTTTCAATTCGACCAAAACCAACGCTGCTTTCTGCTGAGTAGATCAAAGGAGGAACTGTGTAGTTTCACTTCGCTGGCCTAGATTTCTGTGCGCAAATTAAAGTGTTTACATAGGAAAAGTGTTCAACTCCCACAGGATTGTGTTGGTACACAAACATGTTCTAAGTTTCATTGTTTCGGAAACAAAAATGCCCTGTAGGTGTTCCCCAAAGCCAAGGCGAATCAAGGTCGTGTTCGTAAACAGAATAATCGTCCTAGTTTTGGTAATAAAAGCACGTCGTCTCGCATACCAACGGAACAGGAATCGTTTGTGTCGATTTACACGGTCAGTATAAATTATGGACTGCGGGTTGGGGACTGCGGACTACGGACTAGGTATAAAACATGGACTCAGGTTTAAAACGCGGACTGCGGACTAAATGCGGCCTACCAGCTGCAGTCCGTGTTTTTTTGCTGACCGGTCCTAACTAATATTACGTAATACATGTATAAACGAGAACAAACCCTCTTGAATGCACGTGCTTTGCGATCAATTCATTTGTTTTCGCTCCTGCTGGAGGGAGGCCAATTTCAGTCTACCTAGCAGCTCAGGCACAAAATGCTGTTCCTAGATTTTTTGCTTTTATAACATACCAAACCTACCAAAATTCGAACGCACTCTTTAGTCTGCGATTACTACTAGTCCAAAACATATTCTTTTATGTCGTTTTCCTAGGCAATCGCTATATATGCAAATTCAAGGGACGTTGTCTATTTCCTATTTGGCTGTAAAACAACACATATAAGTTTCAGATCAAATGATGTAACACTCACCGCACTGCAAAAGTATAAACGCTGCTATGGATCTCAAAGAGCTCATTTCGTTAACTCTGCAGTGAGAAGATATCAATTAAATTAAATCTTTTATAAAGCTTTTAGCTAGACAAAATGCAGCTTAAATTACTATTAAGCAGCACTCCCTTCTGCTCAGTCAAAAGGGCTCTAAGATGAATCTGGTCCTATGAGAGACCGAAAGGTCAGTTTACGAAATATCGGCTTGTGGCGACCGCGATAATGTGGAGAACAGCAAG